CCGCCCACATCCCAACCCCCCAGGAGGCGCTCTGCCTCTTCTAGGGAATGTGGAGAGTGTTGCCCGTCCTCCCTCTCTTGTAACCATCAGCAGCTTTGAACCATACCGGTTATTGCAGGAAGTGAAGTTGTGGTTTCAAAGGAAACCTTCATGGACAGCCCAGTGGGCAGTGCACCTGCCGCCTGGCCGGGGATGTGCCTTTAGTTTCTTAGCTGCATTTTTCGTTTACCTGTTATTTTACAAAATCTTTAAAAACATCACAACACCCAACTGAAACATGCACTTTTCTCCCCTGAAGTTGACTAACAGTCCTAATGAGGAACATGGTTAAATAAATTTAAATGAAACTTAAAGCTGGAAGTGCCAACAATGTTAATACACTCCAAAGAGTGCAGTCGTCCCCCGTTATCTGTGGTTTCAGTTACTCATAGTCAACTGCAGTCTGAAAACATTAAATGGAAAATTACAGAAATAAACAGTCCTTACGATTTAAGTTGCATGCCATTCTGAGTAGTATGGTGAAATCTCGAACCCTCTCGCTCTGTCCCCCACCAGGATGTGACTCATTCCTTTGTCCCCTGTCTCCAGGCCGCACAGGAGCGTTCCCCGCACATGGGTCACTGGCGGCCTCTGCAGTCAGGCCACTGAAACGGCACCTCCCGGTGCGGTGCTCCCGCTGGCCGGAGCTCGGAGCGGGGTGCCACAGCTCGCATCCCCCAGAGAGGAGCCATATGGAGCTTCCTTCGTGTAAAAACATGAAAGCTCTCAACTTAGTAAGGAAAGAAAGAAAGCATAGCTGAGGTTGCTGAGATCGGTGGTAGGAACGGATTTTCCATTTTGGGCCAGTTTTGCTTTTGTGCTTCAGACTGCAAGTTACAGCCACCGTGTGATAAGTGCTCAGCTGAGGTGGCCAAGGCCTTAAACTTGATCATAGCCCATCCTCTCGAGGATTCAGGCATCACGGGTCCTGCGCCCCCCCCCCCACCCCAGGATAAGCGGGGATGCGGACACAGAAGGCTCTGAGTCTGAAACTCCTGCGGCCGAGGGGACCTGCTGGTGTGTTGCTTATGGGGTTTTCTCTCGTTTGTGAAGGTTCGCCATCGATGGTGTGAACTCGTCGTCAAGCACAAATACACAACCGCATACAAAACCGTGGAGAGGTTCCTCCAGGAGGACCAGGTAGGTCGTCCTCACAGCTCAGGTTCCGCCGGTGCTGCTGCCGGCTGTCCGGGACCCAAGGATAACAGATACTTACACATTTTCCCAAAGTCTGAACGGTTGGTAGGAGCAGATTCTCCCTTGAGAGCTCAGTGTCCCTTAACGCACCGAGCCCTGGTCCTCAGAGGCACCATTGGGTTCACCTGGGGTGGCATGGCCGCGACCGAGCGAGGCCTGTGCAGACTGCACGGCATCACAGGCCTCGGGTCCAGGGTGGCTCAGTCATGCTGGTGCATCTCTCTGTCCTCGCTGGTCCTGACTTAAAGCCTGTGAGAAGGCGAGATGGAGAGCCCAGCCGCGGGAGCGGTCTGTCTGTCAGCACCTGTCGTGCCAGACAGGCCTGTGCTGAGTGTCTTTCCTGTGAGAACTTTGCTCCCTGCTCACCAGAGGAAAGTGGTCATCCTCCCGGGAGCCCACAGGAAGCGTGCGTGGGTGGCCATGTTTGGGGATGTCCTCCGTGCCGCTCTGCGCCCACCCACACTTGTCCTGGCATGGCTGTCCGTGGCAGGACATGTGCCACGGGGTCTGTGCGGCTGGAAGTCAGACCTCAGCTCGGCCCGTGGGCTTGGCCAGTGTGTGCCTACGAGCAAGCTTTCTGCCCAGCCAGGGCCGACGGCATGGAGCGAGTTCCAGTCGGGCGGAGAGCGGGGGCAGGGCAAACAAAGGCGCTTTTGAGAGGGCCTGAGTATGGGGGGCTGCCAGCACGGAAGGGCTTGTTATTCCCACAAAGAAAAATGCACGACTTTGTACCAGAAGAAATGTCACATTTGCACAGTGGAGCAGGAGGTGTTTGGAAACACAGAGTGGAGTATAAGGAGGACAAAATGCAAGAGAAAATTAAGGTCTATTTGAAAACCAGAGTTAACTGCAATATACTTAGAACCATGAACTTTTCTAAATACGGATTACCACATCTCAGCCTTTACGGGAAAGAAATTGCGAGCCTCTAACTAGGCAAGTTTTTGTCTTGCGCTGTCTTTGAGGTCCTTCTCTTAATTTGCCCCAGCAGAGGGGGATCCATGGCACAGCCAAGCGTGGAGAGAGGAGGCAGAACCCGAGGGGTCTTGGGTCTTCAGAGCATAATTGGCTGTTTTTAAAACTGTAGGAAAAGTGCAGACATAGGTCTTCGCAGCATCGTGTCTGGAACAGAAGAGCCAGTGTTTGCCGCAGTGGAGGGACCGTGGTCGGTTCGGCTGAAGCAGTGGGATCTTCCCAGGTGGCGGGATGCTGCTGCCTGCCTGTGGCTGCGAGTTGCATGGTGGTCTGCGCGGCCCAGCAGTGCCGAGGGCCACCTGTCCTGGGAAGGAGCGTTAGCTGCACCGAGACCCCCTCTCCTCCAGAGCACAGCCATCGCTAGGGAAACGCTCACTGTCACCACTTTGTCATCAGTTAAATCATCACGGTTCTGTTGATGGAATTGATAGCTGAGAATTCCTTAGAGTTTCAGTGAAAGCAGGAAAGAGGAGTTGAAAACTACGGTTCCTCAAGTACAACTGTTCAACTGTCTTATCTTTTCTGAGGTCTCCTGTGATTTCTGGACCAGCACGTTTGTGTGAAACAAACTGAGACTGCAGCTGTGGACACATAATTTCTTTGTCTCATGCTCTCTGGCCTCTGCCCCTGCAGGCCATGGGCATCTACCTCTACGGGGAGCTGATGGTGAGCGAGGACGCCAGGCAGCAGCAGCTCGCCCGCCAATGCTTCCAGCTGACCAAGGAGCAGATGGACAGATGCTCAGCCCAGGTGGTGGCCGAGATGCTGTTTTAAAGAGGTAAACTCTCCCATTCCTTGCCCCATTGTTGTTTCTAACCAGATTTCTCAGGAGCCACATAACTGAAGAACCAAACAGTGATCCCAGAGCACCCGCAGCAATCAGTCCTCTGCCCCAGCGCGGGCGCCTGGGAGGGTCATCGGGGGCAGAGCTGTCCACCCAGGCAGGACAGCTCTCCTTGGCACCGTTTTGGCCACTTCAGCTTTATCGCTTGTAGTAACAGGAGCTGGGGGAGCACATCGTGGGGATGGTTAGGAGGGAGACTGAGAAGCCCAGCACGAGTGCTGGCCCCTGGCCTCCACGGTGAAGGCTGACGCGGGAGTGCGTGGCCAGCGGCCCACTCCTGGGCTGCGTGAGAACGTGCCATCGCTCAGGTTGGCCCTGCTGACCTGGGAGGCTGGGGGGAGGTCCTCCCGCCAAAGCCCGCCTCCGGCCTCGGGGCTGCGTCCAGGGCAGGCTCGCGGAGCTGAGCAGGCTCTCCCAGGCTCAGGGGGCAGGGAGTCCTGAGTTATTTGAATTGCTTTTCCTGTTAATTGTGCTTGGAATTGACCTGTGGAGATTTACATCCTAGCGGTTAGGCTTTCTGTGGAGAGCTCTGCATTTACACAGTAATTCAGCAGCCGCCGGGAACGTCTCGAAGCCGAACTGTGGGGTTGTAAGTGTGTTGTTCCTCTCTAACAACCATCATTTCTAGGTCTGTTTTTCTTCCAGGTTTTACATGCTATAAATAGGGTATGTTTAATCTTGTATCCTTTTAAAAACGTGACAATAGATCTCAATCATTTTTCATGTTATATGGCTTCTCTGTAAATATAATTTTAATGGATATTTAATATTTTATGTTGGTCTTCTTAACCCATTGTTGGACACTTAGTTTGCTTCTGTCTTGGAAAATCATTTTTGTCCAGGATATTTAAGAACCTTACTTACTGGAAAGCAGTCTAATGCTGAGGGGAACGCCTTTCTGAAGTGCACACCTCCCAGGAGAGGTGAGGCATTGTGTTTGCTGGGAAAGGAAATGGTAGGAGTAGCTGTGGCGATTGAGCCTCTGGTAGTGAGACAGCTGTGTGCAGACGACCCCAACAGCATTTCCAGGCGGCCCCAGGCCCTGGTCATGGATGGGCCAGTTTACAAAAGAGAGCAGTTATCTTGTTGCCACCCTCCTATAGTAACCAGTATAAGTCATATTTCTCTTTCGATGTTCAATTTCACGGGGAGTTTGTGTTTCTTGAAGTGTGTGAAACTGCCCTGGGCAGACTTCCTGGCCCATCCCCTGTTCTCAGCCGTGGGAACTACAGTGGGCACGCGGCTCTCACGACTCTGGTGCAGTTTTTGCCTCAAGCAGGCAAAGGAGTGGGCCTGGCGAGGAGTCTGCTGTTTTCTCGCCTCCCTGTCCTTCCCCTTCCAGATGAGCTGGGGGTCACATGCATCCCCTCTGCCTGCCCCCCCCCTCACTTAAGACCAGGGACTTGCACTTCCAGCAGACACCAACCCTGCCGGAGGCCTGTCGGTGCATTTCCTAGGTTGTGTTCCAAAACTGCACTGGCATTTGTATGGGCATCTCTGAGTCCTTTGATTTAAAAAATTGTTCCTCTAGGACAGCACGGAAATGAATGACAAAAAAATAAAACCATGTGGTAGTGAGGCCGGCCTGGAGGTGATGTCGTCGCCTCGTGACCAAGGACCAGGTGTGTGCGGTGTGGGCGCGGCACGCAGGCACGGCGGCTCCAGAGTGCTCTGGCTGCTTGGGTTCCTGGCATGCTGATTTGTGACTTAAGATTAAAATCACATTGCCAGGGATTACCACGCAACCACGACCTTGGCTGCTCTCCAGAGCCAGAGCCGCTCGCTCTCTGCAGTGGGAGAACGATGCCCGTGGTAGCTCTTCTCCGGAAACAGAAGAAGCCGGCAGCCACGAAGACGCTCCCGCCCCTGTTGTGCCCAGTGGAGACCTCTCTGCCGAGGTGCAGAGCTTAGCTGATTGGTGAACAGTGACTGGTTTCCGCTTTGTTCACAGTGGCTAAGTTCTGCACCTGAAGAGAAGGTGAGATGGGACAGTAAGGTGGAGCCGCTGGAGCGGAGGCTGCTGCTGAGCGGTGCGCTCGGGTGCGAGCCCGAGTCTGGAGGAGGAGAGACCTGCTCAGCCCGACGATGCACTTTCTCTTGTCGCCAATGCAAGGAATGTACCGAGAGGCTGCAGAACGATAACTAACTAGGTAGCTCTCTGAAAGGTCAAACGTGTTTATCGCTGCAAACGTTGTTCTTGTAAAACACTAAAACCCCATGCATCACAGGAGCCGAGGAGAACCGTCTCAGGGATTGCATGTGCGTGGGGCCGGGTGCGTGTGGGACCCCGTGCTCCTCGGGCACCGTGACTCTCTCTTGTGTTTGCAGCCCGGGTCTCTGTCTCCTGCAGCCCCTGGACGATGGCAGCTCCGGCCGAGGCACTGCTTCTATGGCTGTCGATTGGACCCGCCCTCCGGTGCCTACTGAGCTGATATGTTCTCATTT